TCTCTCTCTCTCTCTCTCTCTCTCTCTCTCTCTCTCTCTCTCTCTATATATATATATATATATATAAGGAATGTGCAACAGCGATCGAGTACTCGGCCGTGACAGTGATGATCGATCATGAAAACGATAATCGTGGAAAAAATAAATGTCTGATTGGATAAAGCAGCACTTTGGGCGGCACCCTGAGCTCTGATTGTTTAGCTTGCCACAGCATGCAGTCCAAAGTATAGATGTGAGAAGAGAGAGAAGCATGGCTTCGAAGTCACGTAGTGATGTCTAGGTTAGCTGCATACATATCAAGTATGATGATATGATACTAAAAACACATCTGTTCCACCTTTATTTGACCCTCTAAGTCTAGCACTTTCTATTCTATTTTAATTCTACTTTATCTATAATTATCTTCCTTTTTTTCTTCTTTTTTTTTAAACCACGAAACAAAACAAAAAAACCCACTAGCTCTCTATTTTTTCTATTCTATCTACTTGTTTTTATTTGTGTGTGTGTGCATAATATACATATATATATATATATATATATATATATATATATATATACATTTGTAAGTCGCTTTGGATAAAAGCGTCTGCTAAATGACTAAATGTAAATGTAATATCTGATTAATCTAATATAAGATGTGTTGGGATATTAGCATTTATTAACATGGTGAATGCGCTGCATAGTACCAGTTTAGTTTCATGCTCAAATGCAATGCCTGATATTGACTGAGTTATTTGAGACGGTCATATTGCTTTTAGATGTTTCTTTTTAAAAAAGTACTGATGTTATAATAATGCATTTATTAAATGATAAATATATATTTTTGAAAAATGTCTAAAAAATGCCCCCCTCCTCCCCTCAAATTAAAAAAGTGAGTCACCTCAGAGGGGAATTCATTTTCAAAAATGAAATTCAGGCCCTGAATAAATGTCTAAAAATCTTGATTGGATCATCACTATAAATAATTCTACATGATAAAAAGAAGGCTTTAAAAAAATCGGTATCGGTGATCGTATCGGCAGATACTGCTTTCTGTTATCAGTGATCGCCCTCAAAAATCCTGATCAGAGCAACCCTAGTTGTCAGCTAAACAGATGCTTTAGGGTACCATAAATATTAGTGTTGTAATTTTACAGTTGTACTGTAAAATAAAATGTATTAGTTTTTTATTTTATTTTTTACATTTGTCTTAAATATCAATATAATAATATTTCTTATTTTGTATACTATTATTATTTTGTTATTATTATTTATTTTGCAACTATATTGCTCTATAACTGCAAAATTTTGGGCCAGATTGTGCAGCTCTACGAACAAGCAAAGCAAACATGGAGCTTTAAAATATAAAAAATATATATATATTAAACCACAGTCACATATTTTATTAGAAAAAAAATAATTTCTTTTTTTTCCTTCAAAAATCAATTTTTTCCCCAAATTGTGCAGCCCTACCTTCATGTCATCATTTTCATGACTTTCTTTTTCTTGTACAGGACGCAATAGAAGAATGATTCAGCTAATTTGTCCAAACAATAAAAGTCAATGGGGTCCAAAACAACAAATTGGACACCATTGACTTTTAGTGTATGGGCAAAATACATTAAATACACTTTTGTGTTCCACAAAATAAAGTCATATACATTTAGACCAACATTTGGGTGAGTAAAGGATGACAAAATGTTCATTTTTGTGGGGGGAACTATCAACTACCAAGAATTGTGGACAATATGTGCTAATTCTGTGGCTTTGCATTCTAGTCTCGAACTGATGACAAAGTTGTCCGTTTCAAAAAAGCAGTGGAGTATTACGTCACCTCCAGCAAGCCCCCTCACTTTCCCCCTTATTTAGGTAAGATTGTCAATGTTTTTGATTTTCCCTCTCTGACAGAATGACATCCGTTCCTGTTGGTTCATTCTGGTTAAATTCTTGGAGCAGGACAAGTGTACTAATGCTCGCCTGGTGTTGTGTTTTCCTGTCTGTGTTTGAGGCCAGGTTTAAGAGGCACGCCCTGTCTCTTTCTTAACCGTCTCTCGGTCTCAGCCCTCACAGTAATGTGAGAAATTTTTCCACTTGCCTCAGACCTTGTGTGCACTTGGAATGGCCGCTGTGCATACAAATGGGCTTCTTTAGAAAAGGACTCTCACTCAGAGAGCTGAAAACTTTCAACAGGTTCATTGAAAGGGTGTCAGTTGAACATTATGAGATGAGAGAATAATTAAATTCGGCATCTTCCAATCAGTGAGAGCATGTTTGACAAATTATAGTGGTTGTCTCGTAGAACTATAATAGTCTTTAATCGAATTCAGACAGACTGACATTTTGCATGATTTTAAATGTTCTGGTGTTGTTAGAATGGTATGGATGCGGGCTGTTTCTCATATACCTCACTGCGTCTCTGTGCCTACACACATTTTGAATGCATCAAGGTCAGTTTCCAAGGTGGGTGGACATGCGGTATAACGAGAATCTCAGTTAGGGCTTTTTTAGCAATAAAAAAATATATATATTTTCTGGGAATGGTTGTTTTTCTTTCCAAGTTTCTCTACATTATTTTCAGTTTTTGCTCCAGAGATTGAACCAGATTCTTTTTTACATTTGTATGCCCACAGTCAGACCAAATCAGATGGGATTGCCAGCAGCACCGCAGATGCTTAACATTCCAGGCAAACCTGGGGTGAGTACCATTTCACCATTATGGTCCATCCTGAATGACTCACGCTTACCCATCAGACTGACACATACATGTTTCTGTTCATTCTCCCAGGTCCAGCATGACTATTCCGGCCCTCCGTTGGCCGAGCCTGTCCATGAGGCGGACCCGTCAGCTAAAGGGCTCCTAGAACAGAACAGCTACAGCAACATTCCTAATGACGGGAAGCAGCACACGCCGCTCTACGAGAGGTTGTCCCCCATCAACCCGGCTCACGGCGGCAACTCCAACCACACAGACCCAGCCTTCTTCATCACCTCGTCCACATCCTCATCCTCTGAGAATGAAGAAAACACAGGCTCCACTGCCAAGTGAGTAACCGAGAACAAGGGAATGTATGTGGGATATGTTGACTTTCAAAAAAGTCTTTCTTCTAGTCATAAATTTAACCCAGGTTTTGTGTGTACAGACAGTTTTGTGGGTAGAGTTATTGTTTTGATGCTTACTGCCACTGGTTTTTGCTGCAGAAAGTGTTGTTTGCTGTACTGACTGAGATGTTCTACAAGGTCATAAATACATTTATACAAGTGTGCCTAACCAATCTCTGCAGACATAGACATTAAACTCTGATGCATATTTTTCATATTAGTTAGGGATGTACAATAAATAAAATATATGGATAAACATATTAAATTGATCAAGTAAAGACGTTTACATCACAAAAGATTTGTTTAAAATAAATACTGTTCATTTGAACTTTCTATTCATCAAACAATCCTGAGAAACCTATCATGGTTTTTACAAAAATATTGAGCAGAACGATTGTTTTCAATATTGATAATAAGAAATGTTTCTTAAACACAAAATCAGCATGTTAGAATGATTTCTGAAGGATCATGTGACACTGAAGACTGGAGTAATGGCTGCTGAAAATCCAGCTTTGCCATCACAGAAATAAAATGTGTAAAATATTATTTTAAATTGTAATAATATTTGACAGTGTTACTGTTTTAGTGTATTTTTGATCAAATAAATGCAGCCTTGGTGAGCATAATTTAAATACATAATAATAATAATATTAGTAAAATTATAGACCCCCCTCCCCCCCAAAAAAATGCCGGCTGATATTAGTATAGGTTGGTATTTTGGAAATATTGGATATTTTACCAATAGAAAAAAGTATATGCTTGTTTCCCCTATTTTCACATTTTAGTAATTCTCACTACAAGCCCTTAAAAACACATAATAATTCAATAAAACTATTAAATGTAATATTTTGTAAATATTAAAAAACGAGGGTCAGAATTCGGCCCAACACCAGATCTCCGGCATGTGGCGTTTGGCTGCGGAAAAAAATTCGAGTTCGCCTAACAATGGTATGAGAGCAGCACAGATTTCACTCACAACCAAACTAACATTACTAGCCAATCAGAAGTCGCAGCCCTGATGAATGGAGAAGCGCGACAAAAAGCTGCGAGGCGCAATGGTCAAAGATGTCCATCTAGCGCATATTTACATAGAAAAACTAATTAAAAAGCAGCGGAGCTTTGTAAACAACTCAGAGTAATCACGTCATCACCATAAGAACGATATGATTGCCAGAACAAATTTACCAGGATTTTTGAAAAACCGGTCCTGTTCACACATGATCTCTTAATGGTAACTTACTGGTAATTTACCAGGTTACCAGGGCTAAACTCTTCCTCTGCATATGCTGTGAATTTTAATTGCTTAATGTTCATCTGAGAAAACAGTGTGCATTATCTCACTAGATTTGTAACGTAAATAATTTATAAACCTTTGCCAACACAGGAGAATTACATCAACCTATTTCTAAATATGCCATTTATTGTACATTGCAATTACAAAATAAAAGTTTCTGAGTTTGCATGTGGCCAAATATTACAATTAAATGGATTTAAACGTCTAGCTTGCTCTATTCTTTTTCTATTCTATCTGTTTTCTTTTTATTTATTATATAATTTAAAAAAAAACCTTGCTACGTGTTAGGGCTGTCATGATAATAGATTTTCACACCACGTTTATTGTGGCCAAAATAATTCACAATATCGATATATCGCGATATCTATAGAAACCTTGGGGAATCAGCCAAATAAACTTTTACTTTATTTAGTTTTTCTTTTTACCCAATGAACATTAGGATACTGATAAACACAGGGCACAAGCATTTTCGCTGCTTCTTCTTCAGGTCACAGCTGACCTGAGACTCTGGCTTTCTCTGTCTTCTTTGAAGCTCCCTATGAAATAACAAGAGAGAAAATACTGTCAAGTTCAACAGTATGATGAATAAATATTAACATCAAAACTGATACTTTAACCTATTAACTTGCGTACCCGTATTTTTATCTCTTTAATCTATAGTTGCTCCGGCGCTAATGAAGTCATGCAGTTAACGTGCTTCTAATTCAGTATTAATGTGCGTCTAGAACGGCTGCAGATGAGGCATTAAGTGCATGGCACTGATGAATGGAGAAGCGCGACAAAAAGCTGCGAGGCGCAATGGTCAAAGATGTCCATCTAGCGCATATTTACATAGAAAAACTAATTAAAAAGCAGCGGAGCTTTGTAAACAACTCAGAGTAATCACGTCATCACCATAAGAACGATATGATTGCCAGAACAAATTTACCAGGATTTTTGAAAAACCGGTCCTGTTCACACATGATCTCTTAATGGTAACTTACTGGTAATTTACCAGGTTACCAGGGCTAAACTCTTCCTCTGCATATGCTGTGAATTTTAATTGCTTAATGTTCATCTGAGAAAACAGTGTGCATTATCTCACTAGATTTGTAACGTAAATAATTTATAAACCTTTGCCAACACAGGAGAATTACATCAACCTATTTCTAAATATGCCATTTATTGTACATTGCAATTACAAAATAAAAGTTTCTGAGTTTGCATGTGGCCAAATATTACAATTAAATGGATTTAAACGTCTAGCTTGCTCTATTCTTTTTCTATTCTATCTGTTTTCTTTTTATTTATTATATAATTTAAAAAAAAACCTTGCTACGTGTTAGGGCTGTCACGATAATAGATTTTCACACCACGTTTATTGTGGCCAAAATAATTCACAATATCGATATATCGCGATATCTATAGAAACCTTGGGGAATCAGCCAAATTAATTTTTACTTTGTTTATTTAGTTTTTCTTTTTACCCAATGAACATTAGGATACTGATAAACACAGGGCACAAGCATTTTCGCTGCTTCTTCTTCAGGTCACAGCTGACCTGAGACTCTGGCTTTCTCTGTCTTCTTTGAAGCTCCCTATGAAATAACAAGAGAGAAAATACTGTCAAGTTCAACAGTATGATGAATAAATATTAACATCAAAACTGATACTTTAACCTATTAACTTGCGTACCCGTATTTTTATCTCTTTAATCTATAGTTGCTCCGGCGCTAATGAAGTCATGCAGTTAACGTGCTTCTAATTCAGTATTAATTTGCGTCTAGAATGGCTGCAAATGAGGCATTAAGTGCATGGCACTGTGACCAACTTAACATTTTACAGAGTTTAATGTAGCAATGTGGTCGCTGAGTTTTTCTAGATTTGTTTTAATCGTGTAATAGATTTGAACAACGAAATCAAGTGCTACGCACATGTATTGGCCATGACTTGATTGCAAATACAAATACAAAAATTAGATGAGTAAAGAAAATGCGATATTCCTTTAAAAAATCACCCCTTTATTTAAATATATGAACACAGGAAACCGCTGTTAACAGGTTAATGTAACGTTTCCCATTCCATGACTAGTAAAATAATGGCAACTTACTGTCTGTATAATATTGAACATGGTTCTTCTCGGAGTCGTCTTCTTGTTTGACTGGTGTCAGCGTTAAGGCGCAATACTGCCGCCTGGGAGGTCAAACAGGTACTGGTGCTGGAGTAGGTTATTTGCGTGTCGTGTTATGATAAGTGTCCTGTTCAGTTGAAATATTGTGGTTATCGCCAATACCGATATATCGTCACACCCTAAATGAACATGATGTCGATATTTCATGATTTGAATATCACGGTTATCATCAATACTGGTATATTGCGACACCCCTACTACGTGTACTGCATTAAGCTAACTGAGACTCGTCATAGCACTTGCATATCATCGTTCTTTTTTTG